TTAAGTTTTCCCTTATCAGAGACCTACACTGATCTTACATTGGCCTTAGCAGGAATCAAGAAGGGGGAACCAAAACAAATTCATGCTTCATGTGCAGTATTGGGGGGAGGAAGAGCCACCTTCAATACTGTTCTTGATAAAGCAGTAAAAATTATTAATTTTATTAAATTATGACCCACTTTTTAATGTCTCATGTTATGAAATGAGGACAAAGCACGTCTACTGCTTAGAAGTATAATTGTTATCTCCAGGAAAAGCACTCATGTGAGTTACAAGCTGAACTAGCTACTTGTTTCATGAAACATCATTTTTACCAAAAAGAACTGACAAACTGGTTATGCAGACTTGGGTATTTGGTAGACATTTTCTTGAAAATGAAGTGAGCCTGTCACTTCAAGGAAAACAACTATAATAGCGCCTGTTGCCAATGATAAAATTGAGGATTTCAAGCAAAAAACAGAATTTTAGAAAAATGTGTATTCATCAACATAAGCTTGATAGGCTCCCAATACCTGAAATTTTTCAGATGAAATTGATGGTGATAGTAATAAATGTGATTTTTGATACCACATAATGGAATGTGTCAACATTTGGAAGATCTGCACAATTCGGTTTACTGGTATCTCCTAAATGGCCACTGTGTATCATGTCATTCAACATATAAGACAGACTGGCCCTGGCCAGTGTGGTTCAGTTGGTTAAGTGTTGCCCGCTGGGTCTGTCGGGGTGCATATGGGAGGCAACAGATCCAAGCTTCTCTGTCATATCGATGTTTCTCTCTCTCCTCCCTTCCTCTTTCTCTAAAATCAATAAAAATATATTTTAAAAAATAAAACAGATTGAAAGATTTTAATGTAACAGTATGAAAAGTCTATTGATAAAGCTTTAGATTATACATTGCAACTAATCTTTATGGAATCTGTCACTTGTTGAGTTTTGATATAACAGCAAATAAGAATATCCACAATTACCTGAAAAGGCTATTAAAATATTCCCCTTTCGAACATCTTATCTGTGTAAGGCTGGAGAATATATACCTTTGTTCATATACCTATGTCAACCAAAACCTATTTCAGAAGCAGGTATGAGAAACCAACCATTTTCTACTAAGCCAGATATTCAAAAGGCTCCAAAAATGCAACTGATTAATTACAGAAGAGTATGTGCAGAACAAGGGAGACCAGAGTCTCTATCTACCCTATACAATGCTTACTGGAGGTGCCGTACATCCAAAGGGCCCCATCAAAAAGAAACACTTTAGAAACTGACATGGGGAAAACTTCAAAGAACCTAGGACATTCAATTTTAAAAGACAACTTTAATGAAAAGGTCAAGAGGCAGGGCAGACTCTCTGGCACAACTTTCCCTCCCATTTCTTAGGGGAAGCTGGAAACTGGAAGATGGAATCTGATCTTGGACCGACACCCCCCAAAACGTTCTGCTCTGGATGTTCCAATCTTATGGGAAGACTTGAGTTACGTCAAGTCTTCTCAGAATATTAAAGTTAATTTCAAATAGAACTATAAATGTAAAAAACATATTAAGAGCCCTAGCTGGTTTGGCTCAGTGGTTAGAGTGTCAGCCCAAGGACCGAAGGGTCTTGGGTTTGATTCTGATCAAAGGTATGTACCTCAGTTGGAGGCTCCATCCCAGGCCCAGTCAGGATGAGTGCGGGAGGCAACCAACTGATGTGTCTCTCACATCATTTCTTTTTCTCTCTCTCTTCCACTCTCTCTGAAAATCAATGGAAAAAATATCCTTGGGTGAGGACTGAAAAGAAAAAGAAAAAATATACTGAGAAAATTTTAGAAATTTCAGAGGCATAAATTCTGTTAACAAACCAATAATTTCAAAGAACAAATTACTTAGTACTTGTCTATAATACGTATGTTACCCTAGATGAAAAGATTTCTCTTAGATTTAGATACATTGCTAGTTGAGTAAAAACTCACTCCAGCTAACAATTATTATTTTTTGGCTAGTCCTCACTTGAGGATATTTTTCACTGATTTTGAGAGAAAGTGGAAGGGAAGGAGAGAGGGGGAGAGAAACGTCAACCTGAGAGACACATTTACTGGTTGCCTCTGCCACCTGCCCAGCCACCAGGGCATGGGATCAAACCTGCTACCCAGATACGTGTCCTTGACCTGGAAAGGGACCTGAGACCCTTCAGCCAGGACTAGAGCTATCAATTATTAAGCATTTTTAATGTACTAGATACTGTACCTTGCACTCTGGCTATATCTCTTAACACTCCCAACAATAGAGGAGTTTCTATCTTACATGTGGGGAAAATGAGGCTCAAGAGAGGTAAAGGAACTCGTTCCAGGTCAGACAGGTACTTACACTCAGCTCTGGTCTGCCTGATTCTGAATGTAGGGCTTTTGTGTGTACTGTCTCCCAGAGAATTCTTGGTAAAACCAAGTATTTGTGGTAACACTTTTCATAGAGGATTGTTTGGAATCAAGCACTGGGGAGACAAGGGAGTGCAGAGAATGATGACAATAAATCTAAACAACTTGCCATTTGATAGGCAAACAGAATTTTTTTCCCCCATTGATTTTTTTAGAGAGACTGGAAGGGAGGGAGGAAGGAACGGAGGGAGGGGAAGAAAGTGAAAGTGGGGAGGGAGATGGGACACACACACACACACATTAATGTGAAAGAGACACATCGATTGGTTGCCTTCTGCATGCACACCGACCTGGGCCAGGGATCCAACCTGCAATCCAATACATGCCCTTGACTGGTAATTGGACCAGAGACCCTTTGGTGCGCCAGGGGTAGCTCTAACCACTGAGCACACACCAACCAAGGCAAGAGAATTTTACTTTTGATCACTTTGTATTATTCATCACTCCAACTGTCAAAATTGACACCCAGTAAAAGTCTAACTTGAACACCTCAAGTTAAGAGAAGAGACGGCAAACTCTGTGAAAAGGTAGAATTTAAAAAATCTCCAGGCTCAGTATAATATGACTTATTGTAGTCCCTAACCAATTAAAACTCCTTTGGTCTACCTCATATTGAAGTACTTACTCTGTTTAAGAGTAGTTTCCTTGGGTACTTCTAAACGAAAGTAGGAAAAAAAATCCTGGTTATTAAATTTCAAGTACAAATCTGTCGTCTAGAAACCTACCCCAAAGGCAACAATTTCACGTCATCAAACATCTATTTCTTTTTTATTAGCAAATAAAATATTCTTTGAAATAACAGGTGGCTCCACTTCCACGTTATAGTGTAATGAATGATATTGGGTACACTCCCAAACCCAAACAAGCCTCTGTTGTGAGCCATTCCCAAACCAAGGCATTAAAAGATCATTCTTCACCAAACAAAGATACTTTTGGGATTGAAACCCAGGAGACTGGACACCTCAGTAGGTACTATTGTGGTGTTATCCTGGGAAAGTAATCCTTTCTGTAAAAGCACACAAAGGCCAAGTGTGTCCTTGACAAATAGCAAGATGTTTATAGCCTATCTTCTAAGTTCTGTATAAGGTAACTTGTATTAAAAAAAGAATCCAGTGTGGGTTCCTGGAATTAAACACCATAAGCTTTTTATTCACTAGTCAAAGATTTTTCTTTTAAACAAGGCGCCTCAATTATATGTAGTCTATACATGGCCAGAATCAGAACGAGGCTAAATGAGATTCCTTCTCTAGGTCAGAACGACAAGCCGGCGAGAAATAAAATTTTCTGCCAGCAAGCACGTAGTACCTGTCAATAATAAAAAATGCTCTGTTGTATTTGTTTTGGTTGGTCTCCCCTCTCCCAAAGTGAATCTGGCTCCAGCAGCCAAATCCCTGCCTCACACGTAAGGGGAAGGGGATCGTCCCTCTCTGGGCCTCCCGACCTTACCCAGTTGGCCGGCCTCATGGTGAAGGGGGTCAGGACGCCTGCAGCACAGGCAAACAACAGGAGGGCCGAAGCTGGGACCGGGACCGGGACCCCGAGAGGAGCAGGCCGCAGCCCCGATCCCGCGCTGCAGCAGAGCCCCGTGGTGGCTCTGCCGGACTGGGGGATGGGGTTGGAAGCGGGAGCTAGTCTTCCCGGGCGCTCAGCGCCGCTACGGCTTGGCCTTGCGCCCGAAGAAGGGGGAAGACTAGACGCTGTCGTAGGCAGAGCGAGGTATAAGCCCTGCGAGCAAGACCCCAGGATCCTAACCGCCCCCTCCCCGAGCGCGCCATTTCCAGGCCCCAGCCCTCCAGGTACCTTTCCCAGTCCTCGCCGGCTCGGCCTGGACCCTACCTCTAGCCGCCCTGGGGTCCCCGACTCCGCCCGCCCCCCACACCCGGCCGGGG